TCAGGGGCTGGCAGGCCTACATCTAGTCCTGCATCAGGGGCTGGCAGGCCTACATCTAGTCCTGCATCAGGGGCTGGCAGGCCCACATCTAGTCCTGCATCAGGGGCTGGCAGGCCTACAGCGTCAGCGAGCAGGTCACGATGCTCCTGCAGCAGGCCACCGACCCCACCAACCTGTGTGCCCTGTTCCGGGGCTGGCAGGCCTACATCTAGTCCTGCATCAGGGACTGGCAGGCCTACAGCGTCAGCGAGCAGGTCACGATGCTCCTGCAGCAGGCCACCGACCCTACCAACCTGTGCGCCCTGTTCCGGGGCTGGCAGGCCTACATCTAGTCCTGCATCAGGGGCTGGCAGGACTACATCTAGTCCTGCATCAGGGGCTGGCAGGCCTACATCTAGTCCTGCATCAGGGGCTGGCAGGCCTACATCTAGTCCTGCATCAGGGGCTGGCAGGCCTACATATAGTCCTGCATCAGGGGCTGGCAGGCCTACATCTAGTCCAGCATCAGGGGATGACAGGCCCATTTTGTTCCTTCAGTTTTGGTGTCGCAGGCCCATTTTTGGTCCTCCAGTTTCGATGTGGCAAGGCCATTTTGGTCCTCTAGTTTCGATGTGGCAATGCCATTTTGGTCCTCTAGTTTCGATGTGACAGGTAGATTTTGGTCCTCCAGTTTTGATATCGCTGGCCCATTTTGGTCCTACAGTTTCGATGTGACTTGTGACAGTCTCTCTTTTCCATGATGACGTCACTGACGTCGTCTTCAAGCATGACACAATACGTGAAGGCAGAGACCTAATTTTTTAATTCACATCACAGGGGAAATGTGGCATATGTGCCAATTTACCCATTACTTTCTCGCCCTGAAGAGCAGCCGTTCACGTACCAGTTAGTGGCAATGTGGCTCTGGCATTAATCCATAACTCCCGCCTCAAAAACAGTCGTAGCAGTTATTAAAATTATCTTTTGTATTGATATCGCTGTAATAGGTTACAAATATTTACATGGCTGGAATAGGTAGCAAATTTTTATATGGCTGGAAAAGGTAGTAAATTTCTACATGGCGGAATAGGCAACAAATTTTTACATGGCTGGTAAAGGGAGCAAATTTCTACATGGCTGGAAATTTTTTCATTGCTGGAATAGGCAGCAATACATCACGGAAATAGGTAGCAAATTTTTACATCGCCGGGATCGTTAGCAAATTTTTACATAGCTGGAGAATAGGTCGCTGAAATAGGTCACAAATTTTTACATGGTTGAATTAAGCAGAAAGTTACCGCTAACTGCTAGTTAGTAATTTGCTGGGTCTTGGAAAGATTGAGGTCTGATATCAACGGAGAATGATTTTTTTCATCGTGTAGTGATAGTCATATTATTTTGTACGATTTTTGAAACGGAATATCGTTTAAAATATATGTTATATTCATCATTAGTTAAAACATTACTGTAGTGTTTGCTATTAGATTCGAGGACTTACCTGCTACCTACTAGCGGATACAGGATGTGATGACATTTGTGATGTAAGGTACTTCTCTTCTACTGAACTGGAATGAACTGCTTTATTTGTTCGATTGTTTTTATAACCTTTGGTGTATTATGTAAATATTTTATCTATTGTACTTCAATATCGGTTTTTGGCTCAAATTTATCAATGTAAATATTTTAACTATTGTACTTAATATCGGTTTTTGGTTCAAATACGTCAATTCTGAAGAAAATACAAAACTTTGAAAGAGGATAATAGTCGAAACACAAACTTTGAATAACATTTTAACTTCATAACATGTATTTGTATCATCTCATAACAGTTTTGAGTATAACTAGCGTACTAACATCTTCCTTAGTTATATTTGACTTCGGTTCGGAGCAAACACTAACATCACTGTAGAAAAATCAATTGATTTATATACCCTTGCTGCGATAACAGTTGTCTTATCACATTATAACTTTGCTTCGATATCAACTTGTCATCTATAACGGCATATACAAAGTATACAAATGATGCTGTATACTTGCTGAGTTTGATCATTACAGCTCGTTTTGGCGAGCTTGGAAGCAGGGAATGTTTTGAGGTTGTACATAGACTGAGGAACGTATAAATATATATGAGAAGCGTGGAATAAATCAATATATAATTGCTAAAGCTAATTCCTGAATTTTATTCAAGCCAGCGGACTATTTAGATTATAAATGTTGGCATAGTTATCAGCTCTATAAACTTCAGAATATTTTTCACGCTAACAAGCAGCTACCATTATTATACATCCTAGTTATGATGATCCATGTGATGACAGCAGCACCACACACACGTCATGTGATGACAGCACCACACACACAAGTCATGTGATGACAGCAGCACCACACACACGTCATGTGATGACAGCAGCACCACACACACGTCATGTGATGACAGCAGCACCACACACACGTCATGTGATGACACACACACACGTCATGTGATGACAGCAGCACCACACACACATCATGTGATGACAACAGCACCACACACACACGTCATGTGATGACAGCAGCACCACAAACATTTCTATAACCAATGCGTTATTAATAATAAAATCTTTCTCAAGTTATTAACTATAAAGCTCATACATTACCAAACTCGTCCTATTTATAATTTTATTAATATTCATTTCCACTTTTAACATTATATACAGCAAAATATTACCTTCAATTGTTTGACGGGTCCTCTCGAGGGACAGATTTACGAAAATAAATAAGTCGATAAATACGATAAATAAGAAAACGAATTCCTCAATCAAATGCAACCTAACGCAACGCAAGAGTCGTAAAGCTTTTTGACAATATTGTCCCTAAAATATTAAATAATAATAAATATTAAAAGCTTAATTTGTCCGAAGCATCACACGAGACAAGCAATTTTGACAGAAATTATTCATCTCTTTTTCCATAGTCTACAACTAATTAGGGGAAGTTAAAATTATGATGATTACTAATCAAAATCACTAAATTTTTTTATGCACAACGAAGCGTTTTGAGCCGAGGTCTAAATTCCGTTTCAGCTTTTGAAATGATAGCAATTTTCTCCAAGTTGGTCACACGCTTGCCTTTCCCAGCTACCACGAATACTTTAAAACGAGGACTCAGTAATTCATTATTAAAATTGTGCACAACTGAATGCAAATGAGTAAATGCGAACAAATCTGCAACAGAAATATTGAGCTGTATTCTAGTTTTTTTTTTTGCTACTAAAGTCGCGCATTCATAACATAACATAGTGATGTCGGCGCTGAAGTGTAGGCCTGATGTGGCCTGTCGCCGATTCTTTTCCTTTCCGTGCCTTGTTCATAGATCTAAACTCGTGTCATTTGACCGGATCTTTTCATGACTGGCGATAGTTTGAAGAAGCTACTCGACTTCCACCGGGTTCGATAAGGAGCTAGGCATTTCATCATATCATTCATAACTGTCGCTTATTCAAATCCTGAGTACAATACCAATATTTAGACCTCTACTCACGACGAGACTAGTGTTCACCGTATTCCTAAATGACAATTGTACCTTAACCACTGACAGCGACCTGGAACTATATTCCAAGACACACAGGAACAAAAATTCATTACCGATATAGTAAATTATGTGGAGATATTTTCGAACTAGTCGAATTATTGGCTGTTGTCTTCTGCCGGTTCTTCTGTGCCGTGCCTTGATGATGAGCGTGAACAACCGCTTCAGTTACGCCAATAGTTAACGCTGAAGGTTTAGAATAAAACAGAGCCTGGCTGCCTGTAGAAGTTACGTCACACGCCGACGTTTCTTTTGCAAAAGCCACACGATTACCACGAGATGGAGCGTATACAGCTGCAGCAGGAGAACGGTCTTGGGGCGCGGGATGGGTAAGCTTGGCTACAGTTTCGGGAGTTGGGTTGATGTGATCCAAATGAAACCCACGTGTTCTTTGGTAGGTCATGGTAGGATGAGCCAAGCAGTGGAAAGAAGCTCGTTGCGAAGGAGTTCCAGGCTTCGGTGACTCAGTCCTGTCGTGTGTAAAAGGTTCCCGATGAGTTAGTCGAACTCCTACATTTTCGATGTCAATATTTGTGTTCTCAGAGTTCCTTTGTGTGTTCCCGAGGGTTTCGTCTTTGCGCACAACTGCTGCGGGTTGTTGATACTCATGGCCTGCATCACTGGTGTAGTAGCTTGGCGATTTTTCCAGAGCATCGAATTTTTTTCGTATTGAAGAGCGTTTTGAATGTTCAATTTTTCCAGGAGCACTGTAATGGTTCTCGCCTGACTTGTGCGGAAACAGGAAACTGAAAATATTTTGAGATGATTGGTTTTCCGCAGGTCCGGACAAAATAGGTTCTGTAGAACTGCCAAGAAGTTCGCTGAAATCAAACGTGGGAGCGCTTTTATCTTTATGAACAGGGCACTGTTGCTGTAAAGCGTACTGAATAAGATCAGATGCACCAAAATCTTTTATTTGGTCTGGAAAATATCCCTGCCTAGGATCCGATTCCATTCCTGGTAATTTCAATGATGGTGTTTCAGAGAAAATATTTTGTTTCTTTGTGTTAAAATCGTAGGATTTTGTGTGATCTTTGAACATCACGCCACGCGGAGGAGCTGACAAGCACTGCAAAGACGAGGCGGAGAACCGCCGCTGCGAAGAGAGGTCACGGTCACGAAACGAACCCGCATCCTTTTCGTTCATTAACTCTTGGTCACAAATGTTAATATCAAGAGCACTGGAACTGCTTAATAAGTGAGCTGCAGTCAGCTTTCTCGCACCATTCTCAGCTCTCGACATGTTTGTTCTAGGTCCTCTGATATCAAAGCTACTCGTGCCATGCGGGTTAGCAGGGCGTGTTTCTAAAGCGTTTTTTCTAAGACACTCGTTTTTGTCCCTGGCAGGAATCTCATCGCGGTAGAGCCACTTGACATCATCGGGATGAAGCAATTCGCCTGTGGGTAGAAGTGCATTAATTATATTCGAAAGTTGTTGGCTTGAACTGTGCGGATTTTTTGGCACTTTTTGTTTGAATGTAACGTCGACCAGATCCCCTTTATCGTGGTGAACGATTTTACTTGAGGTGGGTGCTGAAGAAGATTTTCTGGAAAAACTGTTCACGAATCCATCAAAGGCTTCATTCGTGGACTCGAGACCTTTGCCATGACCGTCTTTGAATTTCCCGGGCAGCGTGTGGTAGCCTACACTGGAGTCCACTTCACCGCATAACTGTTGAGACACGTCACTTGTCATCTCCCCTAACAACTTCGTCATAGCAATGAGGTCTGGCACGTGACGAGTGATACTCGCTGTATGACCACGGAAATCCTGAGGAGGTTTACTCTGGAACCTGAAATCTGCAACAACATCACTGACGTCGCGGCCTGATAATATTTGACTGAAGGGTCTCGGAGACGCAGCGATGTGGTCGCCAGATATAAGCTTCTGCGTGTGCTCTGAAAAAGTCGAAGCACTGAAATGTGCAGGGCCTTGTTGAAAACTCCTGCTTCTGGGAGTTAAAACGGCGTTATCAAAAGTCTCTTCTTTAGAAAGCTTTGTCTGGGAGGTTAATTCAGAAGGAAGAAAATGGTTCGAGTGAAGAGAAGGTCTCTGCACTGCATGGTCGTCCCAGCTGTTACTCAGGTCAGCAGCTCCTTCCATTGATTGCCCTGAGTTGTAATTCATTTGACGACTTCGTTCATCACGCTTGAAAGAACAAGTTTCCTGTGGGTCTGAGTTTTTCCTGCCAGATTTGAATTTAGGGGACAAAGGCAAATAACTAGCCGAGAAATTACTTGATTTTCTATCTACACTTCTCTTTGGTCGTTCCTCCAAGTCAATGTATTTATTTAGATCTAATGGTTTGACGTGACTAATAAATGCAGAAGAGTCTTCATCAAACGCTCGAGGAGAGAAACTAAGCCCGTTAGACGGCAGAACTAGTTTCTGTTTCAAGATTTGTTCAGCGCTATACAAGGCAAAATTGGGATTGTCGACATTTCGAATTTGTTCTTCTCTTTTCTCACTAGACTTGAACCGAGGATGGGCTTCGCTAATGTAAGGACTGAAGGACAAGTCTTCAAGATTGCTGAGCTCGTTGATGTCACTGAAACTTCCCACAGACACATCAAGACTGCCGTTATTATCAGAGTTTTTCGGTGCTTGAGAATAAATGGAGTTCACTGGATCGATTGAGGGCAGACTTTGATTGTCAACGGCTAGTTCAGGATGGTGTTCGATGCTAACAAGTCCATTTTCATCGTAATTTTCCGTGATGCAGTCGCTAGAAAATGACTTTAATAGACCCATAGAAGAAAAGTAACTCTCTCGAGCCACCTCATCTATGTTGGTGCTGGTTCTAACGTGATTCATTTCAAGACAAACATCAGAGTTGAGAGTTTTGTCCACTTTATGGAGTCCAGTAAACTGATCAGAGATTTTATTTTCATAAGTGTAGCCAAGTTTGTTTTGGTACGGCAAAGAATATGAAGCTGTGAGTGAGTAAGAAGGTATGGTTGGCTGTCGACCTGAGTAAGGGCCTAGCTGGAAGTTAGGTTCCTGATTCACGCACTCAGAGTTACTCACAGGCGGTGGGTAAGCGGCTTGGGTTTCAGATTGCGAGGTCCGATGACACGAAGATTCAGAAATTGAAATCTTCTGCTGTCTTCGAGGTTCAGGTAAGCTATGAGAATTGAAAGTGCAACTGACGCTGGGGACGAATGGCCAGGTGTTGGTTACATTAAGTCCTGCAGAGAGCGGGAGTCCAAGTGATGGTCCAGGATCGCTTCGGGACAACAAAGGGCGTTCCGTGGTCTCTATGGCAGCCCCTTCGTCATCAGCCACGAGACATGGCAGGTCTGGTGTGGATACTCTCTTCACAGTCGCCATGTCGTGGGAGTTTCCAGAAGTGTTCGTGCTATCACTGAAGCTCTCGCTCGTGTCCTCCTCTCGAGCTCCATCCTTCCCCTCAACCCAAGGGTCACCACAAAATCTCTCAGCTTCCCATGAACTGTCAGCGGCTGTCGACGTTGACCCACATCCGCTAGGTTGAACATCGCTCACTTCACTGATGTTCTCGAAACTCTCAGAAGCTACAGTTTCAATTTCGTTCAACTCGAACTCTTCGGCCATGTGAGCCTCCTGTTCAGGTTTGATGTACGCTTGATCTTTTGGGAAATTTTTACTTCGACTTCTGCGGTGCCCAACTCGTCCTTTATTGCAGTTGTTGCGTGCATGATAATTGCGGATACGTTTTCTGGCGCCAGATTTAGTTTTCCTGAACCGGGTATCGTCCCTAAAGTCGTCAACTCTGGCAATACTGGAAACATTCTGGTAAACTTTCGAAGCGTCCTCAAACAGACTCATTGACAGAGGGCTCATTCCGGACCCCACTGGACTGTACGACAAACGAACAGCTTCATTCCGGCAACTGCTGACATCCTGCAGTTGCTTTTCAGCACGAGAAGAAGTTTCGCCGTCAACATTCTCCTTTTTAGCAGCATCTGACTTGATGCGTGGATTGTTCTTGTTCTTGGTGCCAGTTTGTTTTGGTATTTTCCGTTGTTCATAGACGATAAGCTTCTCTATCTTCAGCACATTTAAATCTTGCAACTTGGAAGCGTCCAAATCATCAGGTGATTTCGTTGATTTCGCTGCCTTGCGACGGCCGCTTGAGTTGCTCTCTGTCGCCTCCGACCAGTCTGGGGGATTGTAAAATGTCATCATTTGGGAGTATTAATAAACACACAAACATATGATTTATTCAATCACGCATGCCATAACACCTAAGCAACCATTATAAATGACGCCAAGGTCCGGATAAATGATATTCGTAATCTGGACAAGTGAAACCGGAAGGACAAGTGAAACCGGAAATGGATCTGTCCGGAAGCTGGAAAAGTGAAACCGGATATGGATAGGTTATAAGAGCATGACTTGTGCAGTTAAATACTAACAATAACTTACATTGCCTACAGTATTTACGTCATGACGATGACACTCACCGGAGCTTATGGCCGACATCGTGCTGAAGCCGTCCTCGAACCTGNACTTCTGTATGTGTCGACAGTACTGCGTCTCAACTCACTTGTTACCGGAGCAGTTGCCGCTGCCTTGCAGGACGGCGCTCGTGATGTCGTCAAGGCTGCTCTGGCTGCTGCACGGGCCAATAAACGAACATTATCCTTATATTTAGGCCATGAGAGCAACGTGTGGTTATACAAGGTGGTTTAGTAACCATCGACAACTGCAAAGTGATTATGAAAACATCGTTCGAGTTTAGATAGGCAGGGACGCCCTACACTTATAGTCCACGGTTACCTCGTGCTGATAATTTTATCACGTTCACGGTTACCTCAAAAGTTCACGGTTACCTCACGTCGGAATCCGAGGTAAGCGTGGACGGCGACCCGCTGTTGTGCTGCAGGCCTTCATCCTGCTGCAGGTCTTCGTCGTCCTGTAGGACTTCAAGCCTCAAGAGGGCAGCACCAGAGGGAAGTGGGCCTCAAGGTGTTGCATTATTATGAATTTCGAGTAAAATTCGTTGAATTCAACTACGTTCCATGCCTTTAAATTCGTGAGAATTTTACTAATAAATAAGTCTAGGGAAGAGTCGTGATGTCCTACACGAACTAAATATCATCTTCGAATACGATTTAAATCATCAAAATCTTCATAATATCACGATTAACTTAATAGATTAACAATTAATGTATGATAATTACGAGTTTTTGGGGCTCAATTAAAGGTCCAGATTACCAGAAAAAATACAACCTACAAAAAATTTCTTCCCTACGAAACCCAGTATTTCATTTCACATTAAAAAACTCTGTAAACTAAGCCTCTTCTAGTAAGCTATTCGCTTAAAGCTGCCATGACGCCGGTTTTAATTAATTTCTGATAACTAAATTTAAGACCTCCACTTGGATTGATTTGATAGCTTCCTATCCGCAGTTCTCAATCAATAGAAAAAAATAAGGCCACTTTTGTTTCAAGTTCAATTGAAATTTCGAGAGGCGTACCTGATTAAATTCCTAGTCAAGCTTTTAGCTTTTACAAAAAAAAAAATCAAGCTCGAGTAAGTGAACTGAATTTGAGACCTGCACTTGGATTGATTTGATAGCTTCCTATCCGTAGTTCTCAATTAATATAAAAATACGGCCATTTTAGTCCCATGTGTAATTGAAACTCCTAGAGGTGTACGTGATTAAATTCATCGAAAAGCTTTCAGTTATCACAAAAATCAAGCTGCCATTAATTCCGAGATTAATTACGTCACATCTTCCAGGCAAATAACGTTGAACAAACGTTGATCAAGAGTTGACATGGTGGAAATAACGTTATTATATCAACGTAATTTAAACGATAGCTGCCTGGAGGAGGTGGCGGTGAAACGTTGAACCAACGTTGCTCATGAGTTAATTTGGTGTAAATAACGTTATTTTTTCAACGTAATTTAAACATTAGCTGCCAGGAGGTGGTGGCGGTGAAACGGTGAACCAACGTTGTTCACGAATTAATTTGGTGTAACTAACGTTGTTATATCAACGAAATTTAAACGTTAGCTGCCTCACTTGTTGCCCAAAAGGACCTCAGGGCTGCAGTACTCTACGGTGCCGGCGAACTGCGAGAAAAGATGTCCGTCCCGCCTCCGGTACGTGGCCGACCCGAAGTCGATGAGTTTGATGGAGAAACGTTCGTTGATGATAACGTTCTCGTCCTTGATGTCGCGGTGCAGCACCCCTACCTCCCGCAGGTACAGCAGGGCGCTTAATAGCTGACAAGGGGCGGTGGTATAGCATCAGCTGACAAGGCAGGGTGGTATAGCATCAGCTGACAAGGGGCGGTGGTATAGCATCAGCTGACAAGGCAGGGTGGTATAGCATCAGCTGACAAGGGGCGGTGGTATAGCATCAGCTGACAAGGGAGGGTGGCATAGCATCAGCTGACAATGGGCGGTGGTATAGCATCAGCTGACAAGGGAGGGTAGTATAGCATCAGCTGACAAGGGGCGGTGGTATAGCATCAGCTGACAAGGGAGGGTGGCATAGCATCAGCTGACAAGGGACTGTGGTATAGCATCAGCTGACAAGGGACTGTGGTATAGCATCAGCTGACAAGGGACGGTGGTATAGCATCAGCTGACAAGGGAGGGTGGTATAGTATCAGCTGACAAGGGACGGTGGTATAGCATCAGCTGACAAGGGACTGTGGTATAGCATCAGCTGACAAGGGACGGTGGTATAGCATCAGCTGACAAGGGACTGTGGTATAGCATCAGCTGACAAGGGACGGTAGTATAGCATCAGCTGACAAGGGAGGGTGGTATAGCATCAGCTGACAAGGGAGGGTGGCATAGCATCAGCTGACAAGGGACGGTAGTATAGCATCAGCTGACAAGGGAGGGTGGCATAGCATCATCTTATACACATCTAGATGTGTATAAGAGACAGGCACCAGAGGGAAGTGGGCCTCAAGAGGGCAGCACCAGAGGGAAGTGGGCCTCAAGAGGGCAGCACCAGAGGGAAGTGGGCCTCAAGGTGTTGCACTATTTACGATTTTGCATAAAATTCGTTGAATTCAATTACGTTCTAAGCTGTTAAATTCGTGAGAAATTTAGTAATGAATGAGCATAAGAAAATCGTAATCAGTACATCCCTGTCGTAATCCCTACACGTACACGAACTAAATATCATCATCGAATACGATTTAAATCGTTATTAAATCGTTGAAGCCTTTATAATATCACAAGTAACTTAAGGGATGAACAATTAATATATATAATTTCAAGTTTTTGGGACTCAATTAAAGGCCCAAATTACCAGAAAAATACAATATACAAAAAAATTATTTCTTACGAAACACAGTATTTCATTTCACATTAAAAAACACTGTAAACCAAGCCTCATCTAGTAAGCTATTCACTTGAAGCTGTCACGGTGCCGGTTTCCAACTAATTTCTAATAACTGAATATGAGACCTACACTTGGATTGATTTGATAGCTTCCTATCCGTAGTTCTCAATCAATAGAAAAAAATAAGGCCACTTTTGTCACAAGTTCAATTGAAATTTCGAGAGGCGTACCTGATTAAATTCATCGAAAAGCTTTCAGTTACCGAGATTTGAAAAGGACAGAAATTTAATAGAGAATGTTCAAAGACGTGCAACCAGGATAATTCCAGGCTTGAAGGGCAAGTCCTATGAAGAAAGATTAAAGATTATGAAGCTTCCAAGCCTCAGTTATCGACGTCTGCGTGGGGACCTCATTGAAATATACAAGTATACTCATGGTTTATACAAGGTCCCGAAGGATTACTAGAATTTGAAACAAAGAACCAACACCAGGGGCCACGGCTATAAGCTAAAAAAATTGCGCTGCAACTTCTCCACGCGACAAAATTTCTTCTCGCTTCGAATCACCGACATGTGGAACAGCCTCCNCGAGCATGCTACTCTGAACTTGCCGAGCATGCTACTCCTGTCTCTTATACACATCTAGATGTGTATAAGAGACAGTCTGTGAACAAGGCACGAAAAGGAAAAGAAACGGCGACAGGCCACATCAGGCCTACACTTCAGCGCCGAGATCATTATGTTATGTTATTACAAAAATCAAGCTGCCATCAATTCCAAGATTAATTACGTCACATCTTCCAGGCAAATAACGTTGAACAAACGTTGATCAAGAGTTGACATGGTGGAAATAACGTTATTATATCAACGTAATTTAAACATTAGCTGCCCCGAGGTGGTGGCGGTAAAACGTTGAACCAACGTTGCTCATGAGGTAATTTGGTGTACGTAAATAACGTGCTTATATCAACGTAATTTAAACATTAGCTGCCTGGAGGTGGTGTAAATAACGTTATTATATCAACGTAATTTAAACATTAGCTGCCTGGAGGTGGTGGCGGTGAAACGTTGAACAAACGTTGCTCATGAGTTAAATTGGTGTAAATAACGTTGTTATATCACCGTAATATAAACGTTATCTGCCTCACTTGTTGCCCAACAGGACCTCAGGGCTGCAATACTCTACGGTGCCGGCGAACTGCGAGAAAAGATGTCCGTCCCGCCTCCGGTACGTGGCCGACCCGAAGTCGATGAGTTTGATGGAGAAACGTTCAGGAGGGATGTATAGCATCAGCTGACAAGGGAGGGTGGCACAGCATCAGCTGACAAGGGAGGGATGTATAGCATCAGCTGACAAGGGAGGGATGTATAGCATCAGCTGACAAGGGGCGGTGGTATAGCATCAGCTGACAAGAGACTGCTGGTGCAAAACAAAGTCTTTCCAGACAGAGGGACACGTTCACTACAAGGAGAGTCTCCATAAGGGCGGTGGATAAGTGCGTATGTGTGAAGGAAAAATCGAGTTGGAATCGATGTGATGGATGCGTGGATATAAATAAGTGGATCTGTATTAGTGCTTGTGTATTAGTGTTTGCGCAGTGGCGTTTGTGTGGTAGAGTTTGTGTGCTGATGGATGCATGGGAGTGGCTGTGTGGAACAGGACTATTGAATACGAATCATGCAAATTATCAATTCTCGGTACGCAAGGCACAGTTTTTTTCGTCTTAAATGTCTGAAGAAAATTTGAAAAACATCTTAAATATTTGAAAAAAATTTGAATAACATCTTAAATATCTGAAGAAAATTTGAATAACATTTTAAATATTTGAAGAAAATTTTAATAACATCTCAAATATGTGAAGAAAATTTTAATAAGATCTTATATATTTTTTAAAAAATTGAATAATATCTTAAATATCTGAATAAACCCAAAGAAAATTTGAATAACATCTCAAATATCCAAAGAAAAATTTAAATAAGATTTTAAACATCTAAAGAAAATTAAAATAACATCTTAAATATATGAAGAAAATTTTAAATAACCTCCTAAATATCCAAAAAAAATTTCGAAAATTTAAATTTTTCGTGATTTTCGGATATTTTTTCAACTTTGAAATACCTGTGAGAAGATGTGTGCGGCGAGAGGTTCCTCCAAGACAGGATCGCGTTCAATGAACTCGAACAAGTCAAGTCCTGCACCAAACTTCTCCATCACGAGCTGTACGAAGTCTACGTTGTCGAACACGTCCAGTACTGACACCTGTGTACCAATAGTGGCTAATGTGCTTAAATAATGTGAAGAATACTTCGTTAATAATTAACTTCCATTAGGTACTTCAATAATCTAGAGCAGAATCTCTCGTTAATAATTAACTTCAATAATCTTAAGTAGAACACATCGTTAATTATTAATTTCCATTATCTGGGGCATAATACTACATTCCTAATTAACTTCCATAATCTTAAGTAGAACACCTCGTTAATAATTAACTTCCATTAGGTACTTCAATAATCTTAAGCAGAATACCTCGTTAATAATTAACTTCCATTAGGTACTACAATAATCAGAAGAATACCTCATTAATAATCAACTTCCATTAGGTACATCAATAATCTGGAGCCGAATACCTCGTTAATAATTAACTCCCATAATCTTAAGCAGAACACATCGTTAATAATTAATTTCCATAATTTACAGCAGAATACGTCCTTCCTAATTAACTTTAATAAGCTGCAGCAGAATACTTCGTTAATAATTAAATCCCATAATCAGAGAAGTAATAACTGATGCAAAATTTCACAAAAAGCTTCCAAGATAATATAGATACTTACGGTATATCAAAAGCTAAAAGTAAATTTTATAGATATTTTCATACTAATACCGTAACGTAAACTAAATTATTGATTCGTCCAAGGTAAAATCAAAGTTTAAAAAAACGACCTACTTTTTCTCAGCAATTATGTTCAAGCTCAGCTAATAAAATCATATTTCATACAAAAAATCCCAGCTGTGAAAAATCAAAATTGTAGCTGAAGCTGTGTAAGAAGAGAGCATGATTGTAAATCAAAATTTTGACCTCCAGTATATGTATAAGTACAGGCATCTATTTAATCAGAATAATCACAGTTATATACATCAATGCCATCGTATAACAATTGATTAAGGGTTTTATAATTTCACAGAAATTGACACCAGCATGTCAGCTAATATATATTTACGCACTAGCTTCTATAATTTTTACGAAAAAATAAGCCTACTTTTTGCGAAAAAATAAGCCTACTTTTTGCGAAAAAATAAGCCTACACGTCCTATCTCCTGTAGGAGGCCATAGTGCTGCGAGTAAACACCCGCTACAGCCGCACACACTTCATCCAGCTCTGTCACCTGTACACACATCTGTATTTATTTATTCGGACTAGTATATGCTTCCTTGAAATCATGAATAATTGAAATTCTTACTGGAAAATGTTTACTTATTATATTATCATTAAGAATTTCTACAGAAAGAACTTGCGTTTTAATGGCGACAAATACAAACATCTGTATTTATTTATTCGTGTGCTAGTGTATGTTTCCTAGTCATCATAAATAATTGAAATTCTTACTCGAAAATGTTCCCTTATTAGCATAAAGAATTTCTACAGAAAGAACTTAGGTTTTAATGACGATCTCTTTCAAGAAGGAAATATATGGTTACATAACTTCTAGCTAGAGACTATGAAAAATTAATTAAATCATTGATTAATTAACCATCCCAAATTCATCCATGATAATATAAAATTACTTGAATCTACTTCCAACTTGATGGTTTAAAACTTGATTGAATCTACTTCAACAATCTACTTGAAGATTTTCAGACGCGGACATAGCCATGCCCCCCGTTACCTGGTGACGCCCCAGGCGACACCCGCGCCCCTGGTGGGGACGGCAGACCTCCTGGATGGTGTAGTCCTCCCCTGATGACCCACTACTACCAGTGGTCGTGTCCCCACTAGTGTTGGCTTCGTCTTTACTAGTTCCGTCACTAGCACCGTCCGTCAAACTCTTGGTCGTGACGTGCGACGACATCTCACTGTCATCCTCGGTTTCTGTCGTCACGTCCGCACAAGACGATGCTTCGTATTGGCTTTCTTCAGAATATTGAATTTGTTCGTTCGATGTCGTATTGCCGACGCACGAGTTTTCATCGAGCGCAGGACGACAAAGGGCATCATTGTACAAACTGGCGTTGCATTGGGCATCAACAGCCTGCGAAAAAACGTTGCAGTGGGCATCATCAGCCTGCGAAAAAACGTTGCAGTGGGCATCATCAGCCTGCGAAAAAACGTTGCAGTGGGCATCAACAGCCTGCGAAAAAACGATACAGTGGGCATCATCAGCCTGCGAAAAAACGATACTGTGGGCATTTTCAGCCTCCGAAAAAACGTTGCATTGAGCATCAACAGCCTGCGAATAAACGTTGCAGTGGGCATCATCAGCCTCCGAATAAACGTTGCAGTGGGCATCATCAGCCTGCGAAAAAACGTTGCAGTGGGCATCATCAGCCTGCGAAAAAACGATACAGTGGGCATTTTCAGCCTCCGAAAAAACGTTGCAGTGGGCATCATCAGCCTCCGAATAAACGTTGCAGTGGGCATTTTCAGCCTCCGAAAAAGCATTGGGCACGGGTATTTTCTGGAGCCACTTGGCATGCCCAGACAATGCCTCCTCTTCATCGGAGAAGATGATCGCGCTGAAGGAGTCCTGGCCGAGCTGAGGTCCAGCGCGGGTATCTGGGCAACCGACATCGTGAACGCCACCAGAAGCCGTTGCGTTTCCCTTATAAAAAAGTGTAAGAGAATAGGACTGTTAATAGGAATTGATGTGAATTCGCGTTATCGTAAATAATTAGAAATCAAAATCGCTGTCTTTTTCGTTTAATCTTTCACAATGACTAAGTTTGTAATGAATAACTCACCATCGAAAAGAACACATGCACCGACATTATGGATCGTACGGGGCCCTATAAATCCCATTAAAAATTGAACGTTTTGAATGTTGATAAAATAATGCATGGTTCAACATTTTCATGGCGATACGTGCACATGATGATCAGTGACAATAACCATGGCATCATTGCAACTTTTCCTATGCAGCTAAATTTATATCGTTTATTAGGCAGTCAAGAACAGGACAGTCAAGGGCTTCTCGCAACTTTAAAAAGGTTAATCAAGTTTCGACGCTCTGCGAAACAAACTACAATCATCGCATATACAAACATATTATTCTATTCAAACAAGTAAATTAAGTACACAGCAAAAATTCCCAGGATTGTTACGCTGGCTAAACACTCCAATGGAGCCTCCATTATAGCAAAAGGTTGTATGTTTTCATTTTTATGAATTTATTTGTGATTAGGATTCTAGACCCGGCTTTCCATAATTGGTAAAGGGAGGCACGGTCTCTACAGACCCCAAAATACAGACCCTATATATATGTAGGGTGACATGCTTATGAGGGATCGTACTTCTCATGAGGACCTTTTGCTCCTCATGAGGGCCTCTTGCTCCTCAGAAGTGAAGGATCTTATCACTCAGAAAACGTAATGGGTCATGTGGTCCAAATAACGACACACTGTCTGCACTTATACGTCCATTCGCAGGGCAAAACTGAGTCTGGGTTGCTTAGACATGAGTAAAAATCATACTTATTTTACAACACTTCTCTTTTTAGCATCACTTATTGTTGTTAATTTCTTTGTCTGCTACAAATATAATAGATATTTAACACACTTCTACCTGTCCAATTAATCGATCTGAAATGAATCAATTGACAGAATACATAAAGGGCCTCTTGCTCTTCATGAGAGCCTCTTGCTCCTCATGAGTGCCTCTTGGTCCTCATGAGAGCCTCTTGCTCTTCAGAAGGGAAGTCTCTTATCACTCAGAAAACATATTGGGTCATGTGCTCCAAATAGCGCCTCACTTTCTGCACTTATACGTCCATTCGCCGAACAAAACAGTGTCTGGATTGCTTAGACACGAGTAAAAAGCATACTTATTTTACAACACTTCTCTTTTTAGCATCACTTATTGTTGTTAATTTCTTTGTCTGCTACAAATTTAATAGATATTTAACACACTTCTAGCCGTCCAATTAATCAATTTGAAATTTTGCACACTTGTGTAAAGTTGTAGACAATGCATGAATCAATTGACAGAATACATAATTTTGATAATCTAAATTTTTTAGATAGTAAAAAATTTAATTATTTTTTTAGTTTTTGAAAATAAAATTTGAAATTCATGGTACATATGTAACATCGGAGACACTGGATACTTTGGAAGTGTTGTCTCTAAAAAGTAATTTCTAAACGAATATTATTCAAAGTGTGCACTGTACAACTGCAACCAGTCCCTTGAGGGTGTACACTGTACAACTGTAACCAGTCCCCAAAGGATGTGCACTGTACAACTGTAACCAGTCCCCAAAGGATGTGCACTGTACAACTGTAACCAGTCCCCAAAGGATGTGCACTGTACACCCTCTCAAGGGGCTTGTTGGGTGTACCTCGAACCCCTCAGTTGAGGAGGTCGTGTAGGGTGGCGGGGAGGTAGGGGAGCGAAGTTCCACCCAGACGTTGTAGCAGGGTTCCCCCAGCAGGTCGAGGGTTGTCACCCAACTTCTCACGACTTGACAAACCCAAACCAATATAAGTTCTTATGCCAATAGTCTGCTTATTTCGCAAGTATAACAAGAATTTTAAATAAAATAAATTTTCAAGTGAATTCACCATTTTTTCATGAAAATGACCAGTTTCATCAATGTAAAAAATTCCTGGGGTTCAAATTTTAAATATTAAAGTTTTTTTTTTAACTAATGATGAAGTGAGCCCACGGAATGTTTACAAGAAGATGTTTTGAATTTACTTTGTTTGGTTTAATTTTAAATCAATATCTACTCTACCATGCATCTGTTTCTGATAAAAAATGTTTACAATAAATTTTAAAACAAAATATTATATTTCGTAACCATAATTAACATGATCGATGCTCGAGGTAATTTTGCTAGATTAATGGTTTAAAATTATCTCAATTGAGAAGGAATTCTAAGAACATATATATCAAATAGATAGAGAATCAAGTGCCGGATTGGGAACATATCATTATATGTTACGTTGAAAAATTATTTGCACTAAAAATTTTAATTCAGGTACAGTTTTTCGTCCCCTTTTCGTATTTCCGACTAGCTGCCTTGAAAAGCTTCAGATTTTAAATCAACGAAATTGTTTGAGAACACAAAAACTTTAATTTACCTTTACAAGTATCAAAAGGAAATCATGTATTGCATGGCGTTCTATAATAGGACTTAAGAAATACCCATTCAATATATTAAAACTGATTCAGATTTTTACATTGAATTTCGGACCAGGTCTTTTGATCTTAAAACTTTGCTAATTTATTTGGTCCATCAGCAGATATTTCTTATATCTATTTTGTACCTAGTGAGAACAAATTTGTGTTAAGCTTTCTGATGGAAATAAATTGATTGAAACAAAGTAATAAATTTAAATAAATAATTATTAATAAGATGTGAATTCAAAGCAAGTTCTAAAATCACCACTGAATTATATATAGATGTATTAAATTTAAATGAAAAATAATTATTAATAAGATGTGAATTCAAAGCAAGATCTAAAATCACCACTGAATTATATAGTAATCATAATGCGAGAGTAAAGTTACAGAATCTTGAGGTTCATGATTGTTTCGACGGAAAATATCGTATGTAATAGCTATTTGTTCTAATAATAAATAAAACGTTATCATTCATGGGCTCGTTCGTTACTGAATACATACTAGCAATAATGTTAGTGCCGTAATATTATTTTAATTTTGAAAGTGAACTGTGATCAATGTTGTTGAGTATTTTAGATGCAAGAGAATAGCTAGTACAAGTGATCTATCATCATACATAACTGATCTGTCGTCATACATAACTGATCTATCATCACACATAACTGATCTGTCGTCATACATAACTGATCTACCCAAAAGGCAGCAGGTATCTTGAGCGACGTCTGTAGAAATTTTCCTGTAAGGGAAGAAAATGGAAAATGGTTTTCAACGTTTTCACAAATATTATTGTATAAAATCTTTCTCTGAACTTCATGCATCATGAAAAATATCTCCCTGAAGCTTAATGCTATCAACATATAAGATAATAAATGCATTTATAAATTGTCTAGACCGAATTTTCAGGTGGCACGAATGGTAAGTAGAGGATTGCATTAGTGTAGATTTTTCTATAACAATTACTCTGGTAATTTTTAACAATGGTAGCTATCATAATTGTAATTATTATTTGCAAGGTCCTGTGTCCAATAATAGTCTTACCAAGGGGTTGTCCAATTTGTAACAATTAATCTGTTGATTTTAAACAATGTAGCTATAAATTTTTAATTATATTTCCAAGGTCCTGTGTCCAATGATAGTCTTACCAAGGGGTTGTCCAATTTGCAACAATTAATCTGTTGATTTTAAACAATGGTAGCTATAAATTTTTAATTATATTTCCAAGGTCCTGTGTCCAATGATAGTCTTACCAAGGGGTTGTCCAATTTGTAACAATTAATCTGTTGATTTTAAACAATGGTAGCTATAAATTTTTAATTATATTTCCAAGGTCCTGTGTCCAATAATAGTCTTACCAAGGGGTAACAATTAATCTGTTGATTTTAAACAATGGTAGCTATAAATTTTTAATTATATTTCCAAGGTCCTGTGTCCAATAATAGTCTTACCAAGGGGTTGTCCAGATCGTAACAATTAATCTGTTGATTTTAAACAATGGTAGCTATAAAATTTTAATATATTTCCAAGGTCCTGTGTCCAATAATAGTCTTACCAAGAGGTTGTCCAATTTGTAACAATTAACCTGTTAATTTTAAACAATGGTAGCTATAAAATTACAATAATATTTCCTAGGTCCTGTGTCCAATAATAGTCTTACCAAGGGGTTGTCCAAGACTGTAATGTGTCAGTTCGGTGTCGCCCAATACTGCTGACGTCGGAGCACCCGAAGTCGAAAACTGGTGTACCCGCGACGTCGGCATCACCGAAGTTTGGAAGGTTACTATAATACTTGTCGTCACAGCAAGAACCACTCAAACGGTACTCGAACGCAGGGTTGCTTAATCCTTTGAACAATCCTAGTGAGAGGTCGCGATTCGAAGGATAATAATGGCCATATTCAAGATCTGAGTTTGAATTATCGGAAGACTCGGTGTCGGCCATTATGGGGTCTGGTATTTTGGACATGAATCCACTAAAACTGGGGACGGTTCTTGGGTCATCATGGTTGTATGGAGCTGTACAGTCCTGTTGGCTGTACGGGACTGAACAGTTCCCACGGCTGTATGGCACTGTACATGCCTCATAACTGTACTTGAATATACAGTCTTCATGGCTGTACGGGACTGTACAGTCCTGATGGCTGTACGCGACGGTATTGTCTTCATGGATGTACGGGACTGTACTGTCTTCATGGCTGTATGGGACTGTACTGTCCTCGTGACTGTACTGTGCAGAGAAGCAAGAATCGTGTTCAGACGACAAATCGTCAGTGTCATCTATGAGAGTTTTCGCCTGGCATCGGCCAGCAGACGAGTCGCCTGTGCGTCCTAGCGACGGGAGCACCGCACTGATGTGCTGTGCGGGAAGAGAGCGCAAAGCGTTAGCGACAAATTTACGATAAGTGTGCCAGACAACGCATCGTACGATACATTTCAACACTATATAGCAATTGATCATTATGACATTTCATCACTATAGCAATAGGACATTTCATCACTATAGCAATTCACCATGAAATTTATCGCATGAATTGTATTTTGCAAACATAAGTACATGTAGGTTAGGTTACGTAGATTATATTGTAAAGGATGAAATGATGAAATATCCCAATGATGACATGCGTCAATGGCGAAATTTCTCTCATGATGGAGTGTAAGGCCACCATTGTCCAAAATCTCCTTCACTATTATATTCCTTCCCATGCGCAAGAATCAGGATGGAGTAGCCTATGAAGTTAAGTCTTTAAACACATATCGTTGCAGGTCTACAGCCGCTGCTCATATCTGTATATGGTCTGCATGCAACCTGAGTCGCAGAACGAATTCTTTCGGGAAACTCATGGCTAACTCAAGCCATTTGTCAAATTCTGGTTGATGAATGAGTACTTTGCTAGCTTGTCCAAGGTGTTGTGCAATGAAATAAAACGGTTCTGGCGGGTCACCGCCTCTGTGATGATCGTGGAACTACCAATGGCTTTAGTCCCCAGAAAAACTGACTTAAAACCCCTCCATATACACTGTTAGAAAAATTACCGTTAACGGTATTACCGGCGTTTCAGTGGCCGGTCGGCACATGAAAAGAAACACCGTGTCGACGTTTTTATTCTAATTTAACGCTATAAATCTGTAAAACAACTTATAAAAACGAAGAAACAGTTTATTTTCACGGGGCGGCCACTAGAACGCCAGTGTGACCGTTTTTTCACCGCTTTTTCTAACAGTGTAATCGCCCTTACCAGGATGAACATTACAAGATCAACCATCAACAACAAGTACTGCACCAACCTGGCCAACCAGCAGCCCCGGGTTGTGGTAGTTCAGGGTTTGGGTGACGAAGATGTTGCTGAGGTAGTGGATGATGCCATCACTCGAGGTGGTGAAACAACCATGACGGGGGCGAGCCCCTAGCACCTGCACTACCACGTGCCCTGCCCCTTGTCTTCCCCCATTAAAATAATTCTTGCGGGTCAGAGCCTCTGTGATGATCCTGAAACTATATACCACTGGCTTAATGCCCATAAAAACTGATCTATTACCTTACATATAGTCGCCGCTACCAGGATGAACAATACAACATCAACCAACTAATTACAATAGCTCCATCATCAATTTTTCGGACTGATGATGGAGCTGGACTCCGAAACGTTTTCAATATCGATATGGTGAATTTTCTTGGTGTTTTCTTTGCTTTCAAATTCCTTGTGAACTTGCGATATAAGCAGACTGATAACAAAAGTACTTATAGCACCAACCATCAGCATGGACAATTACAACAAGTACTGCACCAACCTGGCCAACCAGCAGCCCCGGGTTGTGGTAGTTCAGGGTTTGGGTGACGAAGATGTCGCTGAGGTAGTGGATGATGCCATCACTCGAGGTGGTGAAACAACCATGACGGGGGCGAGCCCCCAGCACCTGCACTACCACGTGCCCTGCCCCTTGTCTTCCCCCATGCCCAGGCTCCTGCCTCCCCACGTGTCCATTCCCCTCAGCTTCCCCTCGTACGTCCCCAGGCAGAGGCTCCATGTGGCAGAAGAGCGGCATTGTGGCTTCAAGCTGACAGCCCTCGCCAGCCTGTCATTTAATTAAAACGAAGTTGCTTGTAATCTGTAATCAGCTGCTTGTAATATGTTATCAGTTGTTTGTAAACTGTAAACAGTTAATTGTAAACTATAATTAGTTGCTTGTAAATTATAATCAGCTGCTTGTAATCTATAATTAGTTGCTTATAATATGTAATCAGCTGCTTGTAAACAATAATCAGTTGCTTCTATACCCAAACTATAGCTTTCTAAGTCTGAATTGAAGAATTCATAACTGTCCTAGGAGATGAAAATTTTTTTAAATTTTCGTCTCAAATAATTTGATATTTATGAAATATTTCATAAATTCATATAGATAAATTCATAGATATCAATTAAAAATATTATATATTTAATAACTGTACGGTATATTTATTTTTTTTATTGTAAGCTTGAATCAACGACAAAATGAACTATCACTGAAAATACGACACAGAATTTGCTGTTCGCGGCAATAGCCACAAATGGCATCAATTTCATCAGTAACATGTATGGTGCACGTAACATCTACCGATCTATGCAAACAGGCACTCTACCTATTAGTCTACCTACCTGCACCAACAGGCACTCTACCTGTTAACCTACCGACCTACACCAACAGGCACTCTACCTTTTGCAGGCCAGGGAGCAGCCTCCTGATTGGCCGCCTCAAGAAATTCGGACGCATGACGTCAGACGGAGGGGCCGACGCGCCCCCCATGTAACTGCCGGGGGTATCCGCCCCCCTCGTAGGTTGGAAAAGCACGTGCAGGTTATTGGATACGTTCTCCACGTATCCTAAGGGGTCTACGGTGATCCACTCTGCATGGAACTGCACAGGATGCATAAATAGCAGGTACAGACTGCTGGAATCTGCAATGCTACTGTTATTATGATTCTCCACAGCACGCTTTTTTAAAAGAGTGATACTTTTTTCAACAGCTTCGGCACGTCTAAAATCACTATCATGGCTCTCTTCAGAAGAATCATTACACCTGTTATCACCATCATTGCGTCTTTCATCACCATCGGAGGTGATGTCACTATTTTCACGGTTAGCGTCACAACCCAAACCACTGGGACAGGGAGCAGTAACGCTGTTCACGCTCATGTGAGCGATGAATCTAGCTTCATTCGTAGCAAATTCCACTAAATATTCACCATCTCCATAATGATTGTCGGTATGGTGCCCTAGTGCTCTAATCAGGCGGGTTGTGAGGGGCCTGGGCAATGATTGACTGAGTTGAATTGAAATTAAGTCCTTTTTATGGAGTCGTCTGTTTAGTTCAGATTGATATCTATCTTCTAAATGAATATGTCCATCTCCTAAATCAAGATTGCGTCCGCCTAATTCAAAATTACAGTTGTCACCTAAATGAATATGTGCTTTATTTTCAAAATCAAGATGGCGTCTCTCTAAATCAAGATGGCGTCTTTCTAATTCAACATGGCGTCCCTCTAATTCAAGATGGCGTCTTTGTAATTCAAAATGGCGTCCGTCCAGGTTGGTTCGACTGCCTTCTCTAGTTTCTAGTGAATTCTCCTCAGCTTGAGTACACTGAGTATACGTTTTGAATGGTAAACCTAGCACGTCTTTATTCTCAACGTAATATTCAACGAGCGACGTGGCCCCTTCGTCTCCGCAGGCTTTGTTCGCCTTGAGGTCGATGACGACGTAGTCGGGCGACGGCACGTCACCTGAGGACGATGTCGAAAAATTCAGCCCAGATGAGGCCTCTTCCTTCTGCCCAACAGGATTCGTGCCTTGTTGTCTAGCAGGAGCCATTCCTCTTGGTCCAGGACGAGTTAGGCCTCTTGGACCAGCAGGAGTTGAGCCTCTTGGACCAGCTTGATTCGTTCCTCTTGGACCAGAAGAAGTCATTCCTTTTGATCCAGCAGGAGTTAGGCCTCCTGGACCAGCTGGATTTATACCTCTTGGACCAGAAGGAGTCATTCCTTTTGATCCAGCAAGACTTGGGCCTCGTGGTACAACACATACAGGATTTAGGCATCTTGATCCAGCAGGAGTTAGGCCTCTTGGCCCAGCAAGATTTGGGCTTCTTGAACCAGCAGCAGTTGGGCCTCTTGATCCAACAGTATTAGTTTCTTTTGATCCAGCGAGATTGCGGCCACTTTGGCCCCCAGGAGCTAGACCTCTAGCTCCACAAGAGCCATGCTTGTCCCGATGATGCTCAGGGGCCACACAACGGCTGCCTGGGCAGGGCCGGGCCCCCAGGTGGGGCCATAAGCGCCCCAGCAGCTGGTCAATGTTCCTGGCCCCATCGCGCAGTTCAGCTGACGTCAGCTGCAGGAGCTGCCGCCCTCTGCTGCAGGAACCCACGATCTGCATGCGAGTGTCAGTTAGTCCAACGTAAACTAGAGTTGATCTTAACAGAAAACTCAAATTATCCAATTTTTAAACAAACATATGTACTTGGAAAATCATATATTATCATTGCAAGGAATGAAGAATTTGATTGTATTGAAGACCGAGATAACTTCCTCCGCGAACATTCTTATGAGATTATAGATATGATGTTGTAAAAGCTGATGATTGTCGCCTACGAGGCGAGTGATCATTATAACCAAATACATGGCATCATATGATGACTACATGATGATCACTCTACCCTGATGGATAAACACCCCAACCTTAGAAGATTATTATCTTCCTCTCCAGGCTGGTGATGATCACTTTCTACTTGGCTGATGATGATCACCCTCTACTTGGCTGATGGTGATCACCCTCTACTTGGCTGATAATGATCACCCTCTACTTGGCTGATAATGATCACCCTCTACTTGGCTGATAATGATCACCCTCTACTTGGGTGATGATGATCACCCTCTACTTGGCTGATGGTGATCACCCACTACTTGG